TGCCAGGCCACATGCAGACCCACCTGCTCACCTCTGCAGAGGAGCAATCCAGGCCCCCCTCCCGGGGCTCTGCCCACAAGACCCAGCACCACCCTGCACAGCATCTTTCCTGGGCGGCCAGGGTCCTTGCCAGGCCACATGCAGACCCACCTGCTCACCTCTGCAGAGGAGCAATCCAGGCCCCCCTCCCGGGGCTCTGCCCACAAGACCCAGCACCACCCTGCACAGCATCTTTCCTGGGCGGCCAGGGTCCTTGTGTGCCCACAGCCATGGTGCTTTCCAACCCGCCCCATAGGCCCCTATCACTGGGGCACACAGAGATGTCACACCAAGCAGTACATCAGCATCACAGCCGGAATTGCACCTCCTGCCTGCACTAACCACTGAGCCACACTCCCATCCTGATCGGCAGGACAGGCAAAGATGTACAGTACAGGCTTTTTAGCCTCCTTTCCCTCCACTGCTATTTTCAGAGGCTGCCAGCCCCATCCCAGGCTTCTGCTAAAGAGCCAGGAGAGGGGCTCCCTGGTGGAACAGGAACAGGCAGCAGGGACAGGCCCTCCCCGCTAGTAAGACACTAGAATAAGCAACACTGGCTGGTGGAGAGCACATGGGGCTAGGACTCAGGAGAGGTGGGTTCTATTGCTGACTTCACCAGTCTGTGCCTCGGTTTCCCCTCCCCCTTTGCTTGTCATATTTACTTAAATTATTGGCTCTTTGGGGCAAAGACTGTCTGTGGGTGTGTGCGGCACGCAGCCGGGCAGGGCGTATCATCTCCGGGGCTGACCGTCCTCTAGCTATTTCACCCCATGGTCTCAGCAGTAGCTGGTTTCTGGACTACTGTGGGGTGGATGTGTGTAGGGGAGAACTTTAGGAGCCATGGCACCTGCCAGGCCTGGGTCTCAGGCCTGGTGAAATGGACTTAGTCAAGAGGGAGAACAAAGGGCATCGGGAGCCAGCCTGTGTTTACTGTCTGGATGTGGCGGAGCCTGACACTTTACAGAGACGAACAGTCCCCTAGAAATGTCCCTGGGCGGGGGGTAACTGTGCTGCAGAGAAGAGCCCCAGAGGGTCTCAGGAAAGGCAGGCCTCGGGTTCGGAGCTGAACAAGCGCTGCCCAGGCGGGTGAGAAAGGGCCTGTTCCTGGGGGCCAGGGGGCTCTAGGCTGCACCTCCCTTTGCCTCCTGTGTCCCAGTCCTTGTGTTTGAATCGTTAGCTCCAGCTCTGGCGAGCAGCCCTCCCTGGGGGTAAGCGCAGACACAGGGGAGTGCCTGCCCCGAGCACTGGGGGCAGTGGCCAGTGGGGCCAGCAGACACAGGGGAGTGCCTGCCCCGGAGCACTGGGGGCAGTGGCCAGTGGGGCCAGCAGACACAGGGGAGTGCCTTCCCCGGAGCACTGGGGGCAGTGGCCAGTGGGGCCAGCAGACACAGGGGAGTGCCTGCCCCGGAGCACTGGGGGCAGTGGCCAGGGGGGGCAGCAGAGCCCGCG